CCTTGCATCTTCACTTATTGACTTATTGATTACTACTACTACTACTACTACTACTTATTATTATTATTATTATTATTATTATTATCGTTGTTGTTATTATTTTTCACTTATTCACTTAGTCTATTCACACAAGGTTTCCCTTTCACCTTCACTTATTGACTACTACTACTACAACTACTACTTATTATTATTATTGTTATTATTATTCTTATTATTATTCACTTAGTCTATTCACACAAGGTTTCCCTTGCACCTTCACTTATTGACTTATTGATTACTACTACTACTATTTATTAATATTATCATCATCATCATCATCATTATTATTCACTTATTCACTTTGTGTATTCACACGGGGTTTCCCTTGCACCTTCCCTTCTGTGCATTAAAATCCATGGAAGCTTCCATAAAAGAGGCCCTGCAGGAAATAAAACCAATTGCAAAGTATCCCACTCACTAGAACCCCACATTCCCAAGACAGTTACTGTCCTTGACAAAATCAGGAGCAACAGCGTGACGTTTGGCAGTGGGAACGTCTAGCTCTTTAGTTCCACAGAAGATTCACATTTGGGTTGAAAAATTAGCTTTCTGTGAGCATATCCTCTTTTTATAGAATAGCAAGAGTTGGAAGGGGCCTTGGAGGTCTTCTAGTCCAACCCCCTGCTTAGGCAGGAAATCCTATAGCATTTCAGAGAAATGGTCGTCCAATCTCTTCTTAAAAACTTCCAGTGTTGGAGCATCCACAACCTCTGGAGGCAAGTTGTTCCACTGGTTAATTGTTCTAACTGTCAGGAAATTTCTCCTTAGTTTTATGTCGCTTCTCTCCTTGATTAATTTCCACCCATGGCTTCTTGTCCTACCCTCAGGTGCTTTGGAGAATAGCTTGACTCCCTCTTCTTTGGGGCAGCCCCTGAGATATTGGAAGACTGCTATCATGTCACCCCTAGTCCTTCTTTTCATCAGACGAGATGTACCCAATTTCAGCAACCGTTCTTTCAATCCCTTAACTGAATAAGGATCCCTATATGCAAATAAGCGTGCACCTATAGATTTCACACAGACACACATATACCCATCATCATCATCATCATAGCGGTTTCAATCCATAAGCCCAGGTGCTGGGCAAGTGCATAGTTGGTTCATGCCCTGAGTAACTTTTTCAAAGGTTCAGACACAGAATAGATTATTCTCCTAGTATGGATATGAGAAAAATGAAAGTGTGTCTCGGCTGAATGCAGTTCTGGAAGTAATTGCATTTTTAATGCAAATTCCCTAGTCAAAATTATGTATCTGCCAAGATTATTCTAAATAAAGTACATCAGAGACAAAAGTTGTACAATTGGTGGAGACCTGCAGTATTGTCCACTGTCTATATTTTCTAGTTTTTAAAGGGAATATTGACGAGAAGATAATATATTCATACCGGGGTTCCTGCAATTAGTTGGAATTGCCTGTTTTATTAATATTACCTTATTGTGTTTTCTATAAAGCATTAATTATTTGAATAATTATTTGTACAATAGAAAATTTTGGCTAAGATGTTCAAAGAAAGGGCAGTGATTGTATTTCCTTTGAAGGAAACCAAGATAATCAGAATTAATTCTTGGAAACGTAACACTTGCTCAGTACTGATCTCCGAGACATAACAATCTTGGAATTGGCAAGAACAAATCTAAATTCCTTGAATACAATAATGCAAATCTCTAAGAATTTGTTAAAATTTCCTGGTACTTTTGAACCTGGGAATAGTCATTTCATATTTATGATTTAAGTTTAAGGGCCCTTGGACATTATTATGTAACTAAGGAAAGTGAGTAACAACACCATGTTTGCTCTAAATGTCATCAATTAATTTTATTTTATTATAATTAGGCAACTTTTGAATTCTCAACACTTTTTAAATAGTACAGTCAACTTCCTCTTGAAAAGGGATTGAAGAGTTGGGTGGGACATCGGCCTCTGCACCTGTGTAAAACTAATTTTTCAGTCGTGGGAATATGCTCTTCCAAAACACCAATGACTGAGGATTTTAACCATGTCTTTAAGAAAAACCCAGATTGTCTGCATCTCTAGTTCTGTTGTGGATGAGATGATCTTATCTCATTGAATTAAGTTACAAAAATGATGGGAGGAAAACTCAAAATTAGGTAACTGAAAAAAACAAACCTTTTTTGTATTTTATACAGTGAGATTTCAGGTGACTAATGAAGAACAGCCAGCACACACAAAAAAGGAGGTATGTGTGAACATTCTGCATTATCTTCAAGACCTGAAAACAGTTTCCTCTCTAACCTGTCTTATTTCTTTTTGCAGGTTTTGCAAAAACAATTTAAACCTTTGCACAATGAATTGTGCATATTCTTTAGAAGGGAAAATAATCTCCTAACTGAATTATAGATCATACTGGAGAGAGGAACAGAATAAGAATAAAATATTACAAACAGCAATATTTTTTTATTCAAAGCGTAGGTTACTCTTTGCACTGCAAATAAAGAACAATCAAAGCCAGTCTTTTAGCAACAAATACAAAATTAGACCAGAATACAAAATACAAAATAAAGAGAAAGACTGAGGTTGCAGTTGCCAGAGAGCAGAGATTGGGGAGGGAGATTAGATAATTAAAAACAACCTTAGGGACAGAGGGCTTAACCTTTCCTTCTGCACTATTTTCCCAATCAGGATCTGCCCCCCCTTCTTACCTCCCCCCCCTCCACCCCTTAGCAGCCCCAGCTGGAAGATAGATTAAACTGCGCTGTTTTATAATAAAGGCTCTTTCCATCTTCTTTATAGTCCCATTACGCTGGAGACGGCCCAGACTTTCAGCATTCGCTTTTCAACCTTGGTGGTCAAAGTCCATTGGTCTCCTATTATTTTCGGATGCATGGACTCCCTAATACTTTAGCGAACTCCCGAGGTTACAGGATCAATCACAGTGAAATCTGCAAAGTACCATATCCTTTCGTTTTTAAAGGAAGACGTTTATTACTTGAGATAGCTTTAACCGTTTCTGAAACCTGCAGTAAAATAATGTATGTCCATTAAAACACACACATACTCCAACAGTGTAGTGGGTGAAGGGATGAGAAAGACAGAAGTGAAATCTGGACTTTGCGGGAATGTGGCTTTCTTTTTTGTGGCAGGTCAAACTGAATATTTCCTCTCTGAGCTCAGTTCTTTTCCAAATTGGATTTGGAGAAAATCCAATTTGGAAAAGAAAATCCAGTTTGGGTTTGGGTTTAGGACTGGATTAGGGACTTCTGTCCTCACTGTGAGTTGTGTGTGTGTGTGGGGGTACACGAAGGGAGGCTCAGCCAATCTCATTGTACACATGTTGTACTCTGACAATAAAGGTAATAATAATAAAAGGGCTAAGCTAATATATAGAGGAGTTGCTGTATACATTTTCTCTCAACTATGGTTTGCTTTTGCTATTAAAAGACACATATAACATGCCTGTTTTATTTTATACATATACAGGCCAGGACAGATATATAACAAGAGTCAGTTTGGTCTAGTGGGTAAGGCACCACACTTGAAACTGAGAGGGCATGAATTCAAGTCCCACCTTAGCTATGAAAGCCAGCTGAGTGACTTTGGGCCAATCACCAGGAGACTGTGAGTTCTATTCCCGCCTTAGCAATCCAAGCCAATTGGGTGATTTTGGCCAATCCCCAGAGACTTGAATTCTAATCCCACCTAGCCATGAAAGCTAGCTGGGTGACCTTGGACCAGTCATTCTCTCTCATCCCAACTCATTTCACAGGATGGTTGTTGTGGAGAAAATAGGAGAAGGAAGGTGTGTTTGCCGTCTTGAGTTTTTTGTAAAAATAATAAAGGTACGATATAAATAAATAAAATTAAGTTGAAGCCATGCCATAATGACTACATACACTCGTCACACTAATCCACAGTCTGCTTAACCATTGTTTGCTCAATAAACCATAAAAGCAGAGAACAGTAAGCCAAAAGTGAACAAGATCACTGCATGGACTTAGTCACTGAGTAAACTCTTGGCACATGCCTAGAAGCTAGATAATTTAACAACAATTGGATGTTATGACAGAATATGACTGCGAAAGCCGGATTGAGCATTTCAAAATCTGTGGATCAGAATAATTTTCTGATTTAATTCTAGGTTCCAGACAACCATCTGATCCTTGGATCCCTTTCAGGGTGAGAAACAATATGTGTGACAGACATCCAAAGGAATGATCTTTAATCTGCATCCATGTGCACAGGACCTGTTAGATGCCAGGTTTCCATGACAGATCCCAGATTCTTTAATGGATGCGTCAGTCTGGAACGTATTTCCAGAAAGAAACTATGAAAATCATTGCTACAAATCTTGTCTGGCATGATTCCGATACCAGGTTAGCCAATGAGTAAGAAGAAGGTTCACAAATCTACAAGAATATTTTGTCTGTTAGGTAATAATTTGATTCCTTTCTACATCTAAGTCAACAGCCTGATCCTATGACCATGCAACTTTGGGATTTAAACTTGGAAATGAGTTGTAGTTGGAATCTCTCTTGTTATAACCTACTCGACTTGGAAGACAACTACGTCTTAACTATAAAACCATACTCTCTGCCATATTCAGATTACTTTAAAATGAAATGCCTAATCGTTATGTTGGCTTCCTCTGTTAAACTGGAAAATGAGGAAATGTGGATAATTTTAAGTCATTTTATTTTGTCCTTCATACATAATCATTTCCAGAACGATCTAGTCCCAGTAAAAAATAACAAGTTCATTGTCTCATGCACTTCACAGGAGAAGTCTTATCACTCCGTTCTCTTTGATATGAAACTGATTCCAAGCAATGGGATAATCTTTCAGTGAAATACATAAATCATCCCCCCCAAAACCTTTTTCAGATGGAGGGCTACACTCAGTTTTTGAGAGACACATTGTTCCCCTAAAAGGGTGGCGCTAGAACAGAAAACAAATAGGATTTAAATTAAATTAAATTAACAGGATTACTCAAGCATTCAAGAATGTTTGCTTTATATTACATTAAATATTATAGTTTAATGGCAACTTTTGGAGGTCTCCAAAGTTTATATCCACGTGTTCAGTTTCCTCATCCTTTTCAGAACATTTAATTCTGCTTCAATTCTTTATTTTAGTCATAAGGCCAGCAGTTAGAAATAATAAAATGATTAACAGTGGAGATATATAAAAATAAAGAAAATTAATAGAGATTTTTCAAACTGAAGGAGAGACAGACAGGACATATAGAAGCAGAAAATTTCTCTGAACGGTGATCATTCAGGAAAAGGATCAAGTAAGGTCATGATCTGTGTCAAGACATTTTTTTTCAAAATAAGATAAATATAAGTTTTCCAAGATTTGCTGTAGAAACAACAATGAAGGAAAATGTGCCTCAAGGAACTCTATTATTAAGGTATTCCCCACAAAGACCTGTTTCTTATTTCTTCTCCATTATTAATTGCACCACTTTTTTTATTAAAAAATTTTTTTCATTCTTAGCATTTAAAAATGTTTCTGGTACCTTACTTTTATATAAAGGAGTCCCTGCAGATTTTACTCCGCTAGTTGCTGCTGACTCTAGGGGACAAGGCTAATCTCTGTTTCAAGGCCATTGAGCCAGCACTGTCTGCAGTCATGTGGCCAGCATGACATCACGGAGCAGTGTTACCTTCCCATCAAAGTGGTACCTATTCATCTGCTTGCATTTCAGAGGTGGTCTTCAGCAGGTTCTAACCAGTTCTGGAGAACTGGTAGTGGAAATTTTGAGTAGTTCAGAGAACCAGCAAATGCCACCTCTGACTGGAGATTTTTGCAGTATCCCTCCCCTGCCCGCCTACCAAGCCACGCCTGCAGAACCGGTAGTAAAAATATTTGAATACCACCACTGTTGCATCTGCATGCTTTTGAATGAGTTCAATCCTAGGTAGAGGCAGATATTTCCCTCTCTCGGCACATTGAGATTATATCTGCTGAATATAATTCTGCATTGGTGACAGGAAGGGCATCCAGCCAGTAAACACACAGCTCCATTCAGTTGCCTAGATTCCATCCCGCAAGAGATTATGGGTCATTAAAAGGGGATGATTTGCATGCTGTCCAACTGCTAGGTTGGCAGGAGCTGGAGCAAGGATGGGAGCTCACCCCGTCGCATGGCGCTTGGGTCTCAAACTTGGCCTACTGGCTTTCCAGCTGACAAGCCCAGAGTCTTAACCATTGAGCCACTGTGTGTGCTTTTAAAATATTTCCGGTGAGGGACATGTTGTGGTTCGCCGGCAGCCAGTACAGCCGGCAGTGGAATCGGACAGTGGGGAAGAACGGGGACCAGACAGAGAGTCTGGAGAGGACTCGGACGAGGGTCCTGCATCTGATGCAGAGATGGGGCCAGGACTATCTGGGAGTGGGGTGCTGCCTCCGGAGCCTGACAGCAGCGAGGCAGAGGACCCAGGGGAGCCTGTTCCCAGTGCGCACTTACACAGAGCTGCTAGAAGGCAAGAGCAGCTGAGACAAAAGGGGCAATTCGGGAGTAAGGCTGGGAGGTGATTGCCCCTCACATAAGCGATAAAAGTCAGGCCAAGATGACGAAACCTTTGCAGGAAGTAAAGTAGTTCGGTCGGTTCAGATTCATTCTTGAAGTTCTTTGTACTTTGGTTGGTTTTTCTTCTAGTTCATTTGATACTTTCGTTATTGGCAGCACTTCACAGAAAAGAAAGGTGGGTGCTTATCTCGAGGGACTGTTTGAGATTAATTCCAGATGGGAATGAAAACAATTCCCAGCGTTGCAATAAAATAAGTCTTGTTTTTAAAATAAGCATGTGTGTAGTTACGGTCTGGGAAGTCTTGGTCAGAACAGGACAGTTATAGAGGGAAGGATATCCACATGTTACAAACAACAAGTGAACGAATCTATACATTCTCCTAAACAAAAGATAAAAGCATTATTCTTACCCAGGCTAAAAAAACAACCACCAATGCCTAATATGAAACTAACCATTTGTGGTTCCCTTCTCTTTGTCTCTGTGTAGCTTTCATTCTCTTTTGCACACAAACATCAACACACATATTCTTTCTCTCTTTTCAGTCCCTGCTAAAAGTTCAGGAGTGTCCACAGAGGGTTTAAAAATGACAAGGTGGCATCTGTAGCCACGTGATCAAAGCCCTGTCCTTTTTTCCCATGTTTAAAAAAAAAAGTTGGATCTTAGCTCATCACGAACGTCTTGGCTTTTTTTTTTTTTTTTTTTAAAAACAAGTTTTATTAATTTTTAAAACACACAAATTATCATTATTCATTACATGTTTAAACCTTTTTCCCTTGTAAATTTAACAAGTCAGATAAATTATGATTCTGTTTTAAACCATTTCCATATAATATACCAAAACCTCTTATTCAATTTCTCTTTACTTCTCTTTACTCTTATTCAATATCATTATTATTATTTCATCTGTTTCTTTCTGACTTAGTTACCATTATTCTCATTCTATATTTCTACAAGTTTTTACCAATTCTCCCCCCAAAAAAGACATATACACACAACACACAAAACATAAAAAAAATATCTTTTTGGAAAGTAACTTGGACCCAGGTGTCTCTCTCTTCATGGACTTCAATTATATTCATGCTCATCTTACATATCATTACTTATTTTATTTACCATTCTAAGCCTTCTATATTAACTTCTCCACATATTTCACACTTCTTAATTCTACCTTAATTAATCATCTTAGTTTAAATCATTATATTTGTATCTTTTGTCCATTTTTTATCATCCCTTTGTCTCATCCCTTATGAAAAAAAAGAAAAAGAAAACTGATTTTTTTTTTGGCTTTTTTGTTTTTTTAAATGCCCTCACAGACACCCTTGTAAAAGTTATTCTGTGATCAAACCCAGTGATGTTTTCTTTTTTTCAGCACTCTACATCTCCTCAATCTCAATTAGACACTTTTTTATGAGTATATCTGGAACAGCAAGTACTCTCCACCAACCCCTTTTGGCTTACAAATCGTGTGCTTTGCTTTGCTTGCATTTTAATGATTGTCAAAAGGCACTTTTGAGCTTTTCTTTTGGTGAGATTTCAGTTAGCTTCCCTTCTCTTCTCCCCCCCCCCCCTTCAAATTCTAGAGACCAACAAAACGTAAAGGGGAAAGCCTAAGAGATGGAAGAGGATGTAGAACAGGGTATATTCCAGGTTGGTTCCTCGACAGATACGGGAAGTGGGGGGGAAATCATGATATAGTTCAGTCTCTTCTCTTCTTGTGACTGTGTATCTACATCATTCCTTTCTGGAAACTTGTGTTCTGAAACGTCTCTCTTCCATCCAAACTTACTGCCAAGACTTTCTGGCTGAATTAAGTTGAACTACATTTTTTTTTCAGAACAGAACAACTAAAGTTACACATTTCTCCACATTTTCTCTCTCTTCAAGTTAGAGTTCTTCAGTCTGCCAGTAGCCCTTTTCGTATGACAATATCCCCACATCAAAAACCCCACTTCTAATTGATACTGGCTTTTAAAAGCAAACATACCCAAGTATTCACAGTGTGCACATACATGCACGCATATCTTCAGAAAAAGTTTTGTTAATCCGAGGAAAATGTTATTCTTTTCCTAGGGCAACGCGATTAGGCCGTGGGGAGGAGGAAGGAAGAGAATGAAGTAGAATGGATGGTGTTTGGAACAGGTCTGTGCCTCACTGTTTCTTGTAGAGCTCAAGACAGAATGGAGGCCAGTTGTAGCCAACCTTCCTGGGCTGTGCTTATCAAATTCAAGAAGAGACAAGAGAGGGAGAGTGGAGAGAAGTGGTAAGAGAAGAGGGAGTACATGTGTCAGGCACAGGAAATCAGGAGTCCAGGCAGTTCAAATGAATATATAGGTTTATTGTGCATTACAGCTCTCTACAACAACCTGAACTACTAACAGTCAAAGCAAATTGGCGGTAGATAAGAGTCAATGGAATTCAAGGTAGGCTGGACCTGTGGGACTCGAGACTGATTAACATGCTTTACCCTTCCCACAGGCTAATCCCAGGTCATCTCCTACACATGTACTCTGATTAAAAAGCTTTCCAATAGAAAGAGAGGTCTTTAGAAAGATGTATTGATTCAGCAAAGATAAAAAAAATATATAGTGAATCATTTTAAAATCAGTAACGTCGTGGATCTTCCAACATTGCATTGCCACAAACAGCTATAATTTCAAACATTACATCACCCCAATAAAACATATTCAGGAATCTGTGTTAAAGTTAGACCCTTGAGAAATGCAGTGGTTTGGAATGTAAGACTGGTAGGAAAATAAACCCATATTAAAAAAAATATCCATTTGAGTTAGATGCATTTCTTGATCATAAATTAGTAGGAAACTTGGTAAATTTACTCAAAGAACTGAAGACTACTTGATATCACCTACTTTGGGGCAGAAGGAATAATGCAGGACTATCGTTTCTACCTTTTTTGTAAACAAGTCACTTTCTGGAGGGGTCTATGATTTTTAATCCCTTCATATAGCAATAGCATTTGTATAGTGCTTCATAGTGCTTTACATCCTTCTCTAAGCGGTTTACAGAGTCACCATATTACTTCAATAATCTTGATCCTTATGTTGGTCTTCATGCTCGGATACTATTGCTGTCTTTCAACAAGGTTTGCTGAAGAGGACCCTGTGCTAGATTGAGAGAATTCCATGAGACAATCGATAGGAATGCATGAGGCGATTAACTTGTTAATTTATCTATATAGGAATGTTGAAGAGAAAGTCAGCTTCTTTCTTCAAGTAAGGTGATTGAGGAACTTCCCCAGCCTTGATTTTGTGTCAGTCCTTTATATTTTGGGATAGAACCGCAAGGATGGCATTGAGGACCATTAAACAGGCTACCTTTCTGCAAAGCTTAGCTGATACAGGGGAATGGTACACCATTCACTGATATTTCTGGTAACATTTATTATTACCTCCCTTTCAGAAGATGATAGAGGTTGGACTCACCTGAAGGATAGGCCAATAGTTTGACATTCAGGGCATTTCTTTCTAAATCAGACAGTGGAAGATCAACTGTGGTCCCTCAATCAACTCAGCTTTGGTGGAAGTTGAAAAATGGCTATAACTTCCTGCTGTTGTCCTGAGAGGGGAGCACTAGTAGCTTAGTTGGAGCTATCCAAGGTACCATTTTTTATTGCCCTCTTCACCAAAGGACCTGAATTGAGTTTGCTGGCCATATCTGTTGCTCTCCAGCAACCGCTAAGGTCTTGACTTTCCCAACAAAAGGCAGGCAGTCCTGAAATGGGAAAACATTACCTGGATATTTGGTTTCCTATCCTTTTCAATAACTTTGCATGAAACCAGAAAGGGAAAACCATGCAAACTGTGGTGCCATAGAAGGTTCTAAAGACCTAGAATCAATGGGGAATTAGATATGAATGAACAAACTAGGATTCCATACTGAGGTAGCCTTGGTCAGAGGTCAGGTCGAACTGCAAATTAGAATGCAATCAATTTAGGGTGGAGTTCAATTTATTGGAACGCTCAGTTTGTAGATTAAAAAGAGTTTCACTTATTCCTGGGAGAATAATTTTAATGGTAAGCCACCCAGAGTCACTTTTCAGAGTGAGATGGCAGCATATAAATTTAAGAAATGAATAAAGCAAGGGATGTCTAAGGGCAGGAATGTGACCAGTGGGTCAATATGCTCCTTCCTGAGGAAGAAGAATTTGGTCTGAGTGACCTATGTTCTTCTCATTTAGATTCCTAAAATGTTGCATGTGGAAGTGCCCTTTAAAAAATGTTTGGAACCTACTGGTTGGGGTTGTTATTTGTTTCTTGAATGAACTAACAAAACGTAAAAGAAAAATACTGCAGTTAAAAAGAATAAAAGAAATGCAGGGTTCAGAAACAAAAAAACATATATTTAATACGGGATAGAAAGTTGATTTTTCCCCCTAAACAAAAAGGGAGCCAGATACTCTTTGTGAGCTCTTAAGAGCTATTTTAAAGATCCGTCTTAAAATATTTGTTGCCAAGCATGACATTTGTACAGAAAATGGTAATCTATTAGGAAAAAAGACATTGTTAATATAGTTAATAAATTGCACTTCCAATAAATTTATCCTTCCTTCTAGATTTTTCCTCCAAAGCCTTTTGCTACTATGTTAATGGTTGAGTCAGAATACTTTCTCACAGTTTTACAATGCCATGAGTCAATTAAAAGATACATTCTAGTAGTAACTGCAGCTAATGCAAAACTTTGATGCCCAGATTATCTTCCGGCATGTGGTACCGACTGTAATACAGTAGGCCTGAATCGTCCACATTAACCTTCAATTTGTTCTTGAATCCTACGTTGTTTATCTTGGTGCTGCAGATACATCAAGAGATGAACCATGGTTACCATTAGATACTCACTCTTACAGAAGCCAAGGGAAGGCAACAGAAATCAAAGAGTGATTGTACTCTGTCCCCCTCAGAATGCTACTCGTCTTTGGAAAAAGGGGGTATCACTTTCCAGGTAGTCCTTGACTTACAATTGTTTTATTTAGTGACCATTCCAAGTTACAACGTCGAAAAAAGTGACTTATGACCGTTTGTCACACTGAACACCGTTGCAGCATCTCCATGGTCACATGATCCAAATGCAGACCCTCGGCAACTGGCTCCTATTACGGTTGCAATGTCCCAAAGTCACGTGATTCCCCCTTTTGCAGACTTCTGAGGAGCCAGGGAAGCCGGATTCACTTAACAACCATATAAATCACTTAACGGCTGCAGAAGGCGTAAAATAGGGCAAAACTCACTTAACATACGTCTTGCTTAGCAATGCAAAAATGGTGGGCTCCCTTGTGGTCATAGTTCAAGGACTACCCTGTACAAGGGTTTGGTCTTTGACTCAGTGCGCTCAGTCTGGCAAACCTGTTCATCCTCTTAGGATGTCTCCCGGGCTTGGTGCAAAAGACACACCTGTCCTTCATGAATCCCAGGTAGAAAAGACCCGTGTACAACAGTTGCTCCAGGCCATCGGTCATTTGCAAGAAATGAAAATAATACGAGTTTTCCCTTGACCAGAACATCAGCACACCCCTTTCTCCAACTTATATGGATGTCATTCACCAGAGTATAAAGACTTCGAAGAAACTGCAGGATAATTTTGTTGAGTAGGTATTGACCTGGAGATTTCAAATTGAGGGCACGGGACAAATTAGATTCACACGATCTTGATTTTGCACTGCCTTACCAGGAGTTTCTACTCTCTGTTGTCTGCTTTTTTTCTTCTTCTTTTCGTTCCTAAGCTAGTGCGTACACATGTTGCGAAACCGCAGCTCCTCCGGGATTTGCAAACGAGCAGGCACGGTGCATTTCAAATTGAAATCAACTCAGTGTATTACGGCCATATGCTTTTCTGCATTCGCCGCGGTGAAATTTTAAAAGGGAAAACAAATTAACGAAATCTAGATCAAGTGATCTGTGCATGCGGCATTCTGGAGGAACAGTAAATTTGAACAAAAAACTTCCAGACAGCCAGGTAACTTTGGTCACCCTTGGCAACTGCCCTTCATTTTTGAATAATGTCTAACAGATGTCTAATGCAATACTCTGAGCCGACCGTTCTCAAGAGAAAGCTGTTAATGTCACTCTTTCTGGCTTACCCTGGAAGAAATGATTTGCAGAATGTTGATCTTCCAAATTTGTATGATGATGCGTTTTGTATCGTTGCTCCTCTAAAAGGAAAGTCCATTGGGAGAAAATTAGTATCATTAAAAACAAAACAAAAACCAATTTTTTTTTGTTCCTTCCTACATTTCCAATATATCACATGATGAGTTTTTGCTTTCTAGTTTTGAACACAAATGTGATGCAGAACTAGTGGTGTTACAAGAAAAGAGAGAGAGAGCTGACCGGAAGTTCAGAAGGTTTGTTTTTCAAACTATTTTTTATAAATATTCCAACTCTTTTAAAATTGAAAATCCTTTGGGGAAAAAATCATCATGTCCTTCAAAACGTACGACATCTGGTGGTTATTTATCAACTAAAGTTAGTCATTTTTTTTAAAATGCAAAGATGCTGCAGAGGAAAACTTCGGATACCTTTAGAAGTGTACTGAAAAACCCCTTCTTTCCTTGTTCATAATCCCCAATAAATTTAACTTTTCCAAGGACCATTTATTTAGACCAGGCCTTCTCAAAATGTGGCCTGGGCATCTCTGGGGATTCCCAAGCCCCTTTTAGGGGATCCACAAACTCAAACATATATTTTAATATTTTTTCAGTTTGAATTTCTAAAAAGAGTACACAGCAATAGATATCAGTTACAGAAAACCAAAGCTTTGGGGTCCTCCGACATTTTTAAGAACACAAAATCAATCCTGAATCCAAAATGTTTGAGAAGCTCTGATTTAGACTATTATTATACACGAATAATTTCTCTGCCAGAGCCCTTCGAATGGTTTGTGATTTAAAACAAAGGCTAAACATTTATTTATTTGTTTATAATTAACTAAGATTACAGTTTCATGGTTCCTGAACCTCGGGCCTTTTCACAGGCTGAGAGACCACGAGTGGCATGGCCACATAAGAGATTTTGGGGGGCAGGAGGAGCTATCGTCAGCTGTCCCTGGCTAGGCCAGGGGTTTTTACTTTCTCCCTCAGCCAACAGCCAATGGAATGGCAATCAAACATATACAGGGTGCAAATCTTCATGCACCAACTTCTCTAAGCCAGTGGTTCTCAACCTCACCGACTTTAAGAAGTGTGAAATTCAACTCCCTGAATTTTAGCTGTTCAAGTTCAGACTTCTTAAAGTTGCTAAGAGTTGAGAACAACACTGCCTTAACTCATTCCTTTTTCAAAAATGTAATTTTAAAAAAATGGATATATGGATGCTTTAATGGGATGCTTTACTTCTGATGATGGTGAATCCATATTTTTTCTCTGGCCACGTTAAACATTTCATATGAGCAACAGCCTTTTATTTGATATTAAGCCTTCAAAGAAATACTATGTACAAAGACAGACATGTGTCTAGGACACAGTGAACATGGTGAAAAGGCCCTGTGTTTGCAACCTTTTCCCCAGCCTGCTAGAAATTTAATGTAATGTCACTTTGACTTCTCCACATTGGGGCAAATGGGGTATAAGCTGCACAGGAGCAGGAATTTAAGAAAAAAAAATGAGGCAGTTCCTTGTAACTTGCTGTGCTCTGTATTTTTTTTACCTAGGATGCTGGGAACCATCACCACGAAACCAACTGAAAAAAGGATGAAAATAGAACAGTTTCTCCTCCAAATGGTAATTCAGTTTTTATGTCACTGTCTTCCGTGGTTAAATACACTTTGCAGCCTACTTAAGAAATGGAGAATGTGCTGGAGTGCATACCTAAGTTTTTATTCATGTTAAATTGGCAAAAATTTAAATCCATGTAGTTTTGTATAATGTTAATTGTATATTCAAGTAGGTTTAGGTCCTTATTCAATCACAGATCACAGAATGAAGTTGAACAGAAGTCTCTGTTTATCTTGTAAAAAGTAAAACCCACAGAGGGAGGGCCTCTCAGAAGTCTTGGATCTGCTTATGAAGGATACAGCACTGTTGTTTGACATATGGTTGTAGTAGGACTCAAGGAGATTTAAGTATGGTGGAAAAAAGCCTCTTCCGTGGGTTCAAAACCTGTTAGTCCCAAACTACATCTGTAGGGTTGTTTCTGGAGGAAAGCCTTCCTCTTCCTCATACCACTCCCCAGAACAAATTTGAGGTAGATGTGCTTCTTCTCACCTCAGGATCTAGCTGGATTTTATTCCCCTTTGAAGAAAAACTAACATCTGGAGATGGGACAATTGGGTACTGAGTTAGAATGTTGGGTGCATTCCACTGTGTTGAAGCTTCCCTGCAACTTCTGAATAACAGAATAAAGGGGTTGGATGGGAGCTGGGAGGTCGTCTAGTCCAACCCCTTACTTAAGCAGGAGATTCTATACCATTTCAGACAAATGGCTGCCCAAAGTCTCTTCTTAAAAACCTCCAGTGACAGAGCATCCACAACTTTCGAAGGCGAAGACATTTCACTGATTAATTGTCAGGAAATTTCTCCTTATGCCTAGGCTGGTCCTCTTCTTGATAGTTTCCATTCATTGCTTCTTGTTCTGCCTTCAGAACAAGAAAATAGGTTTTGGAAAATAGGTTGACCCCACCCCCCTTCTTCTCTGTGGCAGCCCCTCAAATATTGCAGCATTGCTATCATGGCACCCCTACTCCTTCTTTTCATTTAAACTAGACATATCTAATTCCTTGAAACCATTCTTCATATGTTTAAGCTTCCAGGCCCCTAATTATCTTTGTATGACTCGGGGGGGGGGGGGTGAGGGTGGGGGGGGAAGGGAAGGGGGTTACAGCATCGCAACATGCAAAATCCCACCCAAATGTCCTTCCGGGTGTTTCTTTTGAATAGGCCAATGCCAAGATACAGCGTCATGGCTCTTGTGGATCAGAATCAGGAACCAAATAGGTCTGACATCAAGATACGTGCTGTGAATGTTGACGGAATTTTTCCTCCCACCAAAAGGAAGCATACTAAACTTTTGGTATGAAAGGAGGCTCCTGACTTTTGAATCAATAAAGAATGAGACAGAGTCATTGGACTTTTTCCCCTCCCCTTTAATTCCAATCTGGTTCGTTTCAATATTTTTTGACCAATATATTTTGGCAAATCATGTTTTATATTGTAAAGTCCAGACAGAAACCAACGTTTTGGATGATTATGTTGGAAGCATATTTTAAGAAAGAAAGAAAAATACATTAGAAAGATTAATAGCGCTTTTGGGGGGGGGGGGGGGGGAGTTTGGAAACCCATCCTAATAATAGCTATTGCTATTGTTTGTTATAATGTAATAAAAAACAGCAAAATGAATTGTTTACTGTTGCATACAAAAGTCCTCCGAAAATGTGGCGTCCTTCAGGCTTCAAGGACAATTACAGCTCCTGTGCCAGGATTGGTAGCAAAGAGGCTGTTTTCTTCCAAGGCTAACCTTTGGCCATAATTTCTGTAATAAGCCTCCTTCACATTGGCTAGGAATCTTTCCAGTTTGTCCACAGGAACCATTGACACAGTGCAGCCACCCCATCCTGCCCCAGTCAGGCGTGATCCAACTGCTCCAAACTGCCTAGAAGAACAAAAAATAAATAAATAAAACAGATTTTTAAAGTCATAAATCAAGGGGAGAACGTGTTGTGCATGCAGTGAGCCTACTGGCAAATGCTGGACAGAATCGGGTTAGATTTCTTCTAGTTTTCAAAAGAAAACAAACAACCAGATAGGCAGCTAAAAAGTCAGGTGGCTGGAAGGTTGCAACCCAGTTCTGAACAGCTGACGTTAAACTGCCTGGTGTAATCTAATCTGAACTATTGATTTACTACGAATCTGCCAGTCTTGATGTCTATATAATATCACTAAGCCTCTAACACTAGCTAATAGAAAACTGAATAGTAGGTTAACGTCTTAACCTATGCCCTGAAGTGGTTTCCTATAGGCACGTCATTACTATTGTGGACAGTCCAGATTAGATTCGCCCTTACTCCATCTAACCTCTCATCCCTCTTCTGATATTTTTACGTACCTACCTGTCCACCAGCACTCAGAATTGGCTTTTTAATTTCCTCCCTAATGGGAATGGGGACAGTGGCCGTTGATGTCCTCCAGTTCATTCTTGTTAAGTGAGTGGCTCAGCCCCCACCGTAGTAGGACTGCCGTTCACGTAGAGGATTTACCTGCAACAATTCACTTGTAGTTGAGAAGTTGCAACAGCCCAATTCTGCCCTACTTTTAGATGGTTCCTAAAATGTAGCTGCTGACCAGCTGCTTACTACATATGCACCTCTGTGTCGATGGCTGGATCTGCAATGAGTTCTTCATGTGTCATTTTAATGCTTTGGTTTCTAATTAGCATATTCACATTAATTTGCCTAACTCGATCAAGGGTGTCAAACAGGATTTCATTGAGGGTCGCATCAGCATTGTGTTTAACCTCAAGGGGGCTGGGGTGGGCGTGGCCAGTTTGACGTCACTTGTGTCGGGGTGGGGGGGGGCTGTGCAGTGGGATCCTACCTGTTCCACCACTGGCTTCCGAGCTCTGTTTTCAGCATCAACCCTCTCCCAGTGGAAACGGAGCTCGGGAGGGCCGCCTGCAACCCCCGTGAACTCTGCGGCCCTTCCGAGCTCTGTTTTCACAGGCAGAGGCACCCCGGGCCAGTCCTTGGCTGTTTCCAGGGCTGCTCTGCAGGCCAGATCTGGGGCCCGAGCCTTGAGTTTGACACCCCTGGCCTAGATTCTACAACAGGACCTTACGGGGCAGCAGCAAGAGGAGTTTGTCACCAGAATTCACTAGTAGAATCCTTTTTATTTCAGAGACCCTCAAATTCTGCAGTATACCATAACTGAATTTATGTGGGGCATTTACTGTAAGCGTTGAAGGACCAAAGCTTGCGTCCTTTCAGAATTTGCACTGGTCTCTTCTAAGAGAAGGCAGCTACTGACTTGTCCAGAAAAAACGAATCCAAGCACTTCCAGCAATCCAGCTTCGGTTTGTGCAGACCTTGCCCCATCTAGACATAACTGCAAAGCATCTAGATACACAGATTTTTCTTCGTATCTTAAAGTTTATAAGAAAGCTGCTAGGAACTGATAATCCGAGATGCATAAGCAATGCACCTCCATACTCTTTTGGAAACATTCTTGAAGCCTAAACATAGCAATTGGCAATGATTATAGACAATAAAACCACTTCTGCACGAAAATGCTGCCCATTATTGTTACTATATTAGGTAAGTTTTATTCCTGGATCAGAACCAGACAATAAAAAACTAGGAGAGGAGGGGACCCTTCAATTATCAGTGAAACATGCCAGAATAAAGTTATGTTTTTAAAACAAACAACCGCTGTGTAAGTTCAAAATAAAATGAAGAACAAGCGGTCGGTTGGATGCAGCGTAGTTCCTGTCATAAAATCTCCTCAGCCAGGTTTCAGTGGGAAGCTCGGAAGAAAAAAATCTGAGGCATTTTAACCATTATGTTGAATTTTGTCTGTCATGGTTTTCCTTATAAAGGCCAAAACTGAAATTACTCCTCTTCGAATGAAACCTTTAACTCCATATTTTCATCTTGATATTTCACTTAGTTGCTGTATTGCTTCATTATTATTTTTTATCTTGGAGCTAACCTGAAAATTGGAAATCATTTCAGAATTTCCCCTCCACAAAGGACTCACGTGAGGGCCTTCCTGTATGGAATGGTTTCCAGAGAAAACAGGAATTGCCAGCCAAGCCAACTGGGAGGCTCCTGTAGCTCAAAGGCATAGAAGGGAACCAGAGAGTCATCTTGAGATGGGAAAACCAAAACTTCTCTCTTCCCTGGAGATTTTGGAGGCAAGTCCACAAAGGGGAGAAGCTAAGAAGAGAGGGTCTGAACAAAAAGTGAAGCTCAAGGGAAAAACTTAGCCTTCCTGCAATGCTCCAGTTCTTGGCCTTTGATCTCCACAGAAGCTCCTTAGATATTGAGCAAGACAGAGGGAACAAGGAAGGTAACTTGCAATCATTATTTTCAAAACTCTTTGTAGTTCTTTCTAGAGACTTGAGTTACCCTGTGGAAGCACCTGTGAAAAAATAGTTCCCTAAAAAGAGCTGCCCCTTAGTGTCTTGAGCCCCACTGCAACAAGCAATGATATAGCTCAGCATGGCAAACTCTGCACACAGGAAATTGGGAATCCAGGCAGTTCAATTGAATATGGTTTTATTCTACGCTGAAGCTCTCTGCAAGAATCTGAACTATTTTAATTAAGGGTCAAAGAAAATTGGCGGTAGGTAAAAGTTAACGGGATTCAAGGTGGACTGGACTTAAATCTCTTGTGAGCATGAAGGGAGTCAAGACTGATGATAGGTTTGACCCCTCCCTCAGGCTGAACGTGGTCATCTACAATTTTGTAATCATTTGGCTCAAAGTACCCTAAAGCATGTGGGGTTTTCTCTTCCTTAACAACAGGTCTACATGAAATTGACTATATGAACCCACTTGCCAAAAGAATTCCACCAGTCAGTCAACCAACCCACCCACCAGAGCATACTACAATGGCCCAAGGTTAAGTCTTTCTCATGTTGATCCAGTGTTTGTGGCAAAATGGCTCTGCAAACACATTCATCTGTGGCTTGAATGCCTAAGCATTCATTTTTCTTGTACTGCTTAATTGGAATTGCTGGGGCACAACCTATATTCTTCTAGGTGCTATGTCATAAGAAGTGCTTGGCGACTTGCTTTGAGTCCATACATGGTTTGAAACGGGAGGGCTTGAAGCTGCATGGTGCTTTATTGTGGAGGTGCTGAAATAATGATCTCTCCCCCCCCCCCCAGCTATGCCAACACTTCGAGCTTGGAACTTCAAGGGCCTCATACTTTTACAACATCTCCTAAAAAGAGGCAATAACCGTCACTTAGCTACTTAGCTCACCAAAACACCGGCGTTTCCTGCCAAGCATTTACGGCATGACAGCTCCGCTCTGCAACCATGCTGAAATCATTTAGGTTCTTTGGAGAGGGCCTGAGTCAGCATCAACTTATTAGCGCAAACCAGTTGTTATCAACTGGCCTAAACGCAGTGAAACAAGAAGAAACATTAGGAGACTTTGCTGTTGGAATCAGCCGGTCTGCAGATGCTGTTGGGTCTGTGTTGTTTTTCTTTATGAATGGAAACCAGTCGCCAGGTTTCTTCCTCCCTTTCTTTCTTTTTGCATTGTGGGAAACGCTGCACAGAAGACCCCGGTCACTGTTTTTGGCAGCTGGTAACGGCTTGTACAAATGCTGTGTAAAAACCGCTTGAAAAAGATTTTGAAAGGTTAGATTTATTCTTTGGATTACTAATGAAAATGGATGGGATTACATCTTGCATGTATGTATGTATGTATGTATGTATGTATGTGAATCTATACATATCGCTTCATAGTGCTTGACAGCCCTTCTAAGTGATTTACAGAGAACATATTGCCCCCAACAATTTGGGTCCTCATTTTTCCGACCTTGGAAGGATGGAAGGCTGAGTCAACCTTGAGCTGGTCAGGTTCAAACTCCTGGCAGTCGGTAGAATTAGCCTGCAATACTGCATTTAACTACTGCACCACCACGACTCTTCATCTACATAAAAGAATCTAGTTGGGACATCAAAGGCAATAAATGCATAAGCAGTTTTTGGAAAAAAAACATTGTATGTATCAAATGAGGTAAGTCACAGATTCAGTTCTTAGCATCTTCAAATAGGTCTCGAAAAATCCATTTCCAGGGACCCTGAAAAAGGCTTTTCTTTGCCTGAGGATCAGAGCCATACTGACAGAAGCCAATCTTGGCATGCAGAATTTTCCAGCATCACCTGGATCAAAGCCGTGGTGGCGCAGTGGTTAGAGTACAGTACTGCAGGCGGCTTCTGCTGACCGCAATTTGGCAGTTCGAATCTCACCAGGCTCAAGGTTGACTCAGCCTTCCGGGGTCAGTAAAACAAGGACCCAGATTGTTGGGGGCAAGAGGCTGACTCTAAACCGCTTAGAGAGGGCTGTAAAGCATTGTGAAGCGGTATATAACTCTAAGTGCTATTGCTGTTGCTATCAAGTAGCAAGTAAGAGGAAAAGGAAACTCATTCCTTTCAAATAAGACGACATCATGCTTGATGAACGAACAATCTAATTCCTCATGATTTAATTCTGACCATTTTGTGGGACCTCATAAGAGTGCACCCAGCACCAGTTTGGAACTTATGATGCCAAAGGCATCTGTTTGAGATTATCTGATCAAATCAGTGCTTTCTTGGAGCATCAGATAATAGACACCAATACATTTTTCATTTTCCCCACATACCCCTTTTAAAAGTTTTAATGTAGTTAAAGAAAAATGACGTAACGCTGTCATGTTTTCTCTGCAATCCAACCCAAACAAGATTTACTTTCCACGGCTGTGCAGACTTACAGACAGATGTCCACCAGCTGATCTAGTTCAGGGCAGCTGCATTCGTACAAGTCTCGGCAACTAGCATGGCTCTGGTTCATTAAATCTCCCAACAATGAGATGGCATCATCAGGTGCCCGCACACAGATGTCCTTGAATTCCAAAACTCTGGCAGCTTCCGCGTACACATGCTTAGCACGCTGGTATAACTTAAAGTTAGTCACTGCAGAAAATAAAAGGGGGAGAGAGAAAAATTCAGGAAAGAATGGAAACTCAAGATGATTTATTATCATCAGAATGTAGCCGTGCAGCTTCCAAACATAATCGGTAAGGGAGACGAGCTTTATTTCTCATTGGTTCGTGTCAAGGTATAAAACTACATGCCATAATTTGTCACCACTCCGGACTGCAGGGACAGCTTCAATGCATGTGGAACTTCACCATAAGCACCAATCGAATGCAGATTATTTGCGCAGTCAGAGGGAAACTAGAACAGCCCAAGAACAGAAATGGCACAACAGGCAGAAGGCTCATCAAAAGATAAGTTGAAGCAAAAGAAGAAAATGTCTCAGTAAGTAGATTCGGGATACAGGAGATATCTAAAGTGAGAATACTAAATAAATAATAAATAATAAAGTGAGAGTACTTGACTTACGAACGCAACTGAGCCCAACATTTCATTGGTTAAGCGGGTTTTGCCCCGTTTTATGACCTTTCTTGACTCAGTTCTTAAGTGAATCACTGCAGCTGCTATGTTAGTAACCCGGCTGTTAGGTGAACCTGGCTTTCCCATTGAAGTCGCTTGTGAGAAGGTTGCAAAAGGGGATCCCTTGTGACACAGCAACGGTCATAAATGTGAGTGAGTTCCCAAGGATCTGAATTTTGATCTCATGATCGTGGGGAATGCTGGAAGTGCCGTAACTGTGAAAAACGGCCATAAGTCACTTTTTTCAGTGCCGTTGTAACTTGGAACGGTCAGTGAGCGAACTGTGGTAAGTTCAGGACTCCCTGTACTCATGCCGTTGGAGATCTCATTGACAAATATTACTGGCCAAGACGAATGGATTTCTTTCTCTTCTTGCTCCTTGGAGCCCACGCAAGTCTGAGAATGATAATCGAAGTGTAGGCCTGGCACAAGGAACCTGAATGGCACCATAAGCTGATCAGAGTTGCTTCTTCATGGCTGCCTGCCTATATACAAGAATCTCACCAGACTATATTCTCTTGGGAACAGCCAGGTAAAAAAAAATTCAGGAATTCTCGGAGGTGGGGTGGGATCTCTGGTCTCCCCTGAAAAGACTGGTGAGCTTAGGGTCTTTGCAGGGAAGATGGTCTCCACCTTCCCTGCAAAGACCCCAGTCTTTTCACTCCTCTCCCCACTCTAGCTGGAGTTTCTACCACACGTCGAAAGAACTGAGCAGACTATGGTGCCCAGATAAACTCCTTTTTATGTCACACCCCCTGAACCCTCCAAAAGTGCTGCTACTAATGTCCGTTCCAGCTGGTTAAAAGTGGGGCATTGTGAGTATTACAGGGTGCAGAATCAAAGCCCCCCCCTTCCCGCCCCCAGCAAGAGGGGGCTGTGGGGAGAAGAGCAGAGAAGCAACAGCAACTCCTCCAAGGTGCCAACGTTATTTGGCTTGATATGAAACGCAGCTCTGTTTCCTAACAATGGACCCCCATAAGACAAATGCCCGAAGGCATCATGCTTCTGGAATACGATTAAACCTCACACCAATATTGCTTTTTTTCTTTTTTTTTTCCCCTTCCCCCCCCCCCCCCCCCAAAAAAAAATTGCTGATCAAAATTGCTCTCTGGGGAGAGGCCACTGAACAATGGATAGAACTTGCCCAATTCCCAGCCTACCAAACTCATTGAGTACATTTTGTCCTCCAGCTTATGAATTGATCGCAGCTCTGTTCTCTTTTTTTTTTGTTTGCACGGCGTGGGTTACGGCTGAAGCGTTCGCCGAGGAGAGCTGAGAAAAACACAACACTCCTTCCCTGGGCAGCTTCTATCCTCAGGATGGTCCCTCCCTCCCTCTTTTCTTTTTAGTTTCAGGAATCCCTTCACCTGGGGGCCTTTTGAAATAACGCCCTTTTTTTTGTTTTGTTTTGGACGCCTCCGAAGTTGCGTGAGAGTTTGCCATCCCTCACGCTTCTCTTGTAAATCACCCTTGAACAGTAGTAACCCGAAAATGAAAAAAAGAAAGAAAAAGAAAAGAGCTCAAAACACGTCTGGTTTCGATTTGGAGGCAACAAGGCTTTGCCAAAGGCTGCGATTGATTCAAAGACCACCCTTCGGTAAAGCGATGCTTCCCCGGCCAGATTACCTTAAAGCACTTGGTGGCTCTCCCAGGCTCATCAAGTTATGCGTGGGCAGCTGGGCCCTCTCTCCATTGCTGCCAGCCAGCCAGACCCTGAAAAGGCAAGGCAAGCCCTCCACGACATTGGGTCCTGCTGCAGAAGGCTCTACGCACCCTGCCCAGATGATTGCTCTAACTCTAATCTAGTGCGGTTTTTTGCCTTATTTCTTAGGGAACATTAAAAAAAGAATGCTAATGCAAATGACTGCAATCTAGTGTAACCTCTCCAGTGATTATCTCTCCACTGAAAGAAACCAGGGTTGCATTGTTGTTTGCTTAGGCTCTCTTTCTTGGAAGCGACTGCTGGCCAACTAAAGCAAGTCAGAAATGAAATCACAGCGTTCAAGAGATCTGTTTCTTCTACTGGACCATTTGCTGGAGAAAACCCAAAGCGTCGACAGATGATGGATTTGGGGGAGCGGAGCAGCCACTGAAATCCTCGCCACTCGTAAAAAAAATATGAAGGTGTTCATCTGCTTTTCTTTAAGAGGTGGGTCGCTTGAAGGACCAAGGTTGCAAGAAGATCTCTCCTGCATTCCCTTTATTTATGAGGAGGCCTTTCAGGAGTGTCCCAAAAGTGCTTTTCCAAAAGGCAACAAGACTCTCTTGGTTTCTGAACTTTCTTCGGACTTTCTTGGCCTTGAAGAAGCTTCTTGGATGAGAAGCGACATGTTTTTCAAGGAAAACAAACTGGGGAAGTCCAATTGCCTTTTGGAAAAGCACCTTTAGGACCAACCATGACCTGGATGATTGGGAATCTCCATGGACTTTGCAAAGCCCCCAAAAGCCAGACAAGGAATAACGGATGGAAACTGAACAAGGAGAGATTCAACCTGGAAATAAGGAGGAATTTCCTGACAGTGAGAACTATCAAGCCATGGAACAGAAGTTGCCTTCAGAAGCTGTGAGAGCTTCATCATGGAGGCTTTCAAGAAGAGATCGGACTCCCATCTGTCAGAAATGGTGTAGGGTCTCCTGCTTGGGTGGGTGGGTGCGTTGGACTCAATGACCTACAAGGTCCCTTCCAACTCTGTTAAAGTAAAACCTTCCAGAAGTGGCTTGCCAAGAGAGGAGATTGTGTCCAGGGTCACCCAGCTGCCTTTGTCCCTAAGGAGGGATGAAGTCACAATCTCCCTGTTTTTAGCCGGATGCCTTCATCACTACCCCAAGTTGGTTCTTGCCATACTAGAGAAGCAGAGAACCCATGGGCTTTGTGATTCTACCCTGATAATTGGGATATTGATTATGGAATTTTCCTTGCCCAGTGTGGGCCCAATTAAAAATAGAAGCTGTTTAGAGAGGGTGTTGCTTCTTTACTTCGTTTTTATATTTGGCAATTGAAGCCGTTCATACAATGAGTAAATACGTAGCTCCCCTTTTTCCTCCCATTTAAATTTTAAAGACCTGAATACTTCAGTTCCTTTTAAAAACATTTTGCCCCTCTGAAATGAGAGTCTGTTCTGAAACAATGAAATGCTTTTCCCTCCCTCCACAGACCCTTTACCCACTTTCAAAATTACGGGGCTTTTCGCTAAATAGAACGAATTTATTTATTCAAGGTTCAAGAATTTTGCTTGAAGAAAGCAAATTCAGTGCAGCTTGTAACAGAGGAATTCCATTTTTTCCCTCTATCCAGAAGTTGCTCCTGACTCTGAATTTCAGGAAATTATGCAAGTAATTCCACCCTCAGCTTTCTTTCTTTTTTAATAGTATTTTTTATGAAAAATTACAAATGAAAGATAAAAAAGTGCAAACTTAAAAAATAATAGAAAAAAATAGAAAGAGGAGAAAGGAAATAGAAATAGAAAAAAATAAGAATAAAGAAAATGAAAAGAGCCAAAATGTCAGGCCAAAATGTTCAAAATGACACAGCAAAATTCAATCCATATTTAATGAACAGCCTCCTGCCATACTCAAGCTATAACCTTCTAACCTACCAGATATATCCCAAGAGTTATATCTTTTTTGAGATATAACTCTTAAATATAAATACATTAGATATAATTTGTCTTAAGAAATCCCATATCAGTGACCAGTCTCCGGAGTGCTTGAGGCTGTCGGTCTTCAAGGACATAAAATCGGGTTCACAAAATTTATGCTGATCAGTCCTACAGGGACTGTTTAATGGGCTTGAGAAGATCGTGTTGCTTTCTTTTTTTTTTTTTTTTTGTAATAATTATTTGTGTTAGAAATTTTGAAATGTAAACAGTTTTGGAAATGTTGGCACAAAAGTGGTCGTAAATCAACGAATTCAATGGTCAAACAGCAACCCGATCCAGATTGTTTTAAGTATAAGGCAGAGATCATCACAACTGCCAAAAACTGAAACACTGGAATATTTTAGAAGAGGTCACTCTGGACGTTTTGAAGACATTTTGCAACTATATATAAATACACTGGGGGAAAAAATAGCAAAGAAGAGAGGCAGAAATGCACATTCATAGTAATTGAGGATTCCAAACCCAAGCTTGGGGTTATACAAACATTAGGCCCTTATATAGGGATATATCAATTTACTTATTTCTTCTTTGCAACTAACCAAGATTTCTCTCGTGCCAAGGAAAACAATATGATTGCTCCATGACCTCCCCCCCCCCTCCTCCGGTCTTATCAAGCAAAATCACAACCACACCATATGTTAAGAGAGATTCTACTTGACTTAACATCTGCAAACGCTAGATGGAATAACTTTTCCCGTGGGCTTTGGAAAATATTTCATAGTCTTGGTGTGTAAGAGAAAAGTGGGGGGGAAGGTTGAGGCAAAATAATTGGAGCCTATAACTCTCTACTCTTCTGGAACAAATCTGAAAAAGGATAGTCAACATGTCACTAACGTATCACTTCCTTCAATTAATGAGAATCAGCCCACCAAATGTCCTTAAACAGCTCTGCCCTTTCTTCTTCGTTGGCTTCGCTCCCTGTGGCTTCAACAAGGCTCTATTGCCAAGAGACGGCAAATGCTGGTACCCACCATCCATCTGGTGCCTTTTACAAGTAGAAAAATAACAAAGCCAATGACCACACAACCATAGATTCGGAGAAGGCTATTGAGGTCACTGGATACATTCCTGTGGTCAATGCAGGAATGTTAAATAAAGCAATCTCTCCCAGATAACTCGGATCATTTCTTTTGTAACTGCACCGAACTATTCTTACTGTTAGGAGACATTGATGTCTACATCCTGAATCCTAGGATGACACGGGGTCTGAACCAGTGGTGGAATTCAATTTTTTTTTACTACCGGTTCTGTGGGCGTGGCTTGGTGGGCATGGCAGGGGAGGGATACTGTAAAATTCCTATTCCCTCCCCACTCTGGGGGGAAGATTACTGCAAAATCCCCCTTCCCTCCATACCCCACTAACCTGCTTTCCAGCTCCATTCTCCTGTGCAGGGCAACCAAAGAAGACCCAGCCAATCAGCTGGGACTCGGGAGGCAGAGAAGAGATGGGGGCAGGGCCAGTCAGAGGTGGTATTTGCCAGTTCTCCAGACGACACAAAATTTCCGCTATTGGTTCTCCAAAACTGATCAGAACCCGCTGAATACCACCTCTGATCTGAATGTTCTTCTATGGGACAGCTATCACACTCTCCCCACCATTCTCCAGAGAGGCTGGGCATTCCCAGTCTTTGCAGTGTTCTCACATGACTTAAGTTTCTGGTTATATGAGAATAATTTTGCCAGTGTGTTCCAGAAGCCCCTTTTCAACATAGGGCCAACATTTAGAGTTTTTCAGTTGAAAATCTAATCAATGCAGAACTTGACCAACCCTATTCTAGCCATGCGAACCGCATTCTCAAAATTACACCAAGACTAGATGACGATTAGCACTGATGTCTATGGGGATTCTCAGTCATCCAGGTCATGGTTGTCCCAAAGGTGCTTTTTTCAGGAGGCAACTGGGCTGTCTTGTTTTTCTTTGAAGACATGTCACTTCTCATCCAAGAAGCTTCTTCAGCTCTGAATTCCAGTTGGCTCTTGAAAAAGCACCTTTGGAATTAGCACTGATGAAGGTACCTAGTTTGGGTAAGGAAGCGTCTGTAAGAAAAATAACCAAGAGACCACCACAGGGCCCTCAAGTATAGACGAGGCTGGTACTATTTCTGTGAATATTGATATTCCTGTATTGTAAGGAAATGGTAAGGTTCTTATCTCACCGTTCAAACACTGGATCCTCCTAAAAAATAACAACTTGTTTTCTTTCACTGTATTGCATTAAGTGGAAAAGGAAGATATAATCGGAGAGCTGTGATGTCTATGTTGCAAGCTGATTATAATCATGGGCAGCAACAGTTAGGATTGGCAGACAAGCTATTACAAGAGAATTTAGTTCCTTTCCCAAATCAGAAGTTATCCCGAAAAAATAAATTATCAAGATCAAAATGGCATTGCAATGTATTTCAAAGAAGAGAATTCATCACACTTGCTAGATAACTTAACCCACCGAACATACCAGTTTTAAATTGCTCTGATTGAATGTCAGAACCAGAATTTCTGCCCTGTTAGAATGACCGTGTAAGGCAAGTTGTGGATCCGGGGAGTCGGGTGGGGGCTTGATATAATGATTCTTCGGTTCTTATTGCATCTTAAAACCTTAAGGTAGGATACATTGAAATCTAGTTTTATGGTGGGTGATTTTCATGGATATGACATGAACCACCCTTTGTGTTGCTTAGACTGTAATGAAAATGGGCTGCTCTCTTTCTGAGGCTTTTCTCACAGGCTGCAGCCACCAATGGCTTCCTCGTGGTGTGTACAAGAAGTAGAAAAACACCAGGCTGCAAGTTGCTGATGAATCTCTATATGATAAATCTTACAGGTAAGAATTGCCACAGGTTGCATAAAAGAGCAGTACAATTTTACATCCTCCCCTTGGCACGGCTGGGTAGCCATCGGAATCAAGATCTCTGAACCCAAAACTCAATTCATTTCTTTCTTTCAGGATGTCGGAGTGTTGCACTAATGGTTTGGGGGGTCACAATTGTTGTACGGCATGCTTTAAAACAAGCACATCCACCACTTGCTTCAGCTGAAAGCCAGAATGATAGCTGTTCATCTCTAGATTCCACCGATCTGGTTCCCTGGAGTCAGATCACAGTTGACTGCAATGCCTGGAACATTTTTTTCCCCAGGCCCTTTTCAACATTGATTATTTAAAGTCCTTGGCCTAGACAGAAATGCTAAATTGCTTCTGCCATCACCAAATTGGCATGCTACTTACCACCCTGTGTGTTCTGGCTAAGGATCTGAGTGCGTAGCTCCGTGGGGCTAATTCCCAGGTTTCCCCCAATTTCCTCTAGGCTGTAAGGCTCAGGGTGAAACGCCTCTTCGACCACAGCCAGCATTTCCTCTAAGCTGAGCTTCAGCTTGGTTTGCACATCTTGGAGTTTTGCCACCGCTCTCCAGTCTAGGCCTCTGGATTTCGCTAAAAGCTGAAACAAGCAAAAGTATAAGTAGGTCTTTGGAGGCAAAATTAGGAACAGAAAGAAGTAAACCCAAACATTTCTTCAAGACACCTTAGTTTCTTTCCTTGAAAAAAAAAACACTTAGGAGAACACTAAAGGGATCAAGAATTGACTTTGCCAGCAAAGATTTTGTTAGGCAAAATAGAACGAGAGAGACAGAGAAAGGGGAAAAAGCTCTCGGTTCCCTTCAATTCGGGGATTTTGAAAAATTGTACAGATAAGGTAAAAATAAAATAAAACACAAGCAAGGTTCAGTTTATATAACCCAAGAGTCATATTTTTTAAAACATGGCATCTCAAATGTCCCAAGAAAGTTGCAAACAGGTTATAAAGCTAAGCTAACATTTCCCTCTTATTTATCTTTTAGCATTCAAAGATACACAAGCCATTTTCTGTGGCTGTCTAGATGGATGTTAATAAGACTTTCCTTCAGTTAATTCTCTCATCGTTTGAAAGACCATCTAATCTACTGAGGGACTTGAATTTTCTGGAACTCAGTGGTGATATCCCTGAATGTGATTTAATCTCAGCTCAATTCTTCTCGTGCAGCCTTCTCAAGAGTGATGGGTTTTAAGTGCAACAAAAACACAGGGACTGAATTCCTTTGAGGCATAATCTACCCCGAAAGCAAAGGCCTTTAAGGACCACCATAGGAACTTTATCAAACCCTTGTCCAGACAGAGAATTTCCTCCTCACATTAACAAGCCAGAGGAAAGCATCATTGGGGATTTTCCTATCTCACTGCATGAGAAAATTGCAGGCGATTCTTTTGGGAGACGGGTGAAAAAGATTGGACGTTTTCTTGGCCCTATCAGCAGGCCAGGCAAAGTGGAGATCCCTGATGCTTAAATGAAGAATCTTTAAAGGAATATTCCAGCAGCTGCTGGGTTCATGTATCCTGAAAATGGTAGGCTATTTCTGGAATTATTATTTCTGCCCCGGTTAATTTTGATCTAACTTGGACAACTGTGCCAGCTCTTTCCTAAGAGGTTCTACTTGGCATGGAAGAAAATCAACCAACCAGACTACAAATGTTTTTGCAGAGTCACCGGCAGCTCAGGCCACCCCAAACCATAAGGAGTACAGGGTGGTCTTCGACTTAAGAACAGTTCGTTTAGTGACTGAAGTTACAACAGCACTGAGAAAAAGTGACTGATGGCCATTTTTCACACAATCCGGGCAGCATCCCCCTGGTCCCGTGGTCAAAATTCAGTCCCTTGACCGCTGACTCATATTTATGATGGTTGCAATGTCCTGAAGTCATGTGATCTCCTTGTGCGAACTTCTGACAAGCAAAGTCAACGGGGAAGGTAGATTCACTTCACAGCCGTGTCACTAACTTAGCAACTGCAGTGATTCACTTAACAAAACTGTTGCAAGAAAGGTCGTAAAATGGGGCAAAACTCACTTAGGAGCCATAGTGGCGCAGTGGTCAGAGTGCAGTACTGCAGTCTACTTCTGCCGACTGCCAGCTGCCTGCAGTTTGGCAGTTCGAATCTCACCAGGCTCAAAGTTGATTTGGTCTTCTGTCCTTCCGAGGTGGGTAAAATGAGGGCCCAGATTGTTGGGGGCAAGAGGCTGATTCTGTAAAACCACTTAGAGAGGGCTAGAAAAGCACTGTGAGGTGGTATATAAGCCTAAGTGCTATTGCTATTGCCCTTCCTTCCTTCCTTCCTTCCTTCCTTCCTTCCTTCCTTCCTTCCTTCCTTCCTTCCTTCCTTCCTTCCTTCCATCCATCCATCCATCCATCCATCCATCCATCCATCCATGGTCCACAGTGGTTAGAATGCAGTATTGCAGGCTAATACTGCCAACTGCCAGCAGTTCAATCTGGACCAGCTCAAGGTTGACTCAGACTTCCATCCTTCTGAGATCGGTAAAATGAGGACCAATTGTTCAGGGCAAAAGGCTGACTCTGTAAACCACTTAGAGAGGGCTGTGAAACAGTATATAAGTCTGAGTGCTATTGCTATTGTTCTTCCTTCCTTCCTTCCTTCCTTCCTTCCTTCCTTCCTTCCTTCCTTCCATCCATCCATCCATCCATCCATCCATCCATCCATCCATCCATGGTGTGCAGTGGTTAGAATGCAGTATTGCAGGTTAATTCTGCCAACTGCCAGCAGTTCGATCCTGACCGGCTCAAGGTTGACTATCCTTCCGAGGTGGGTATAATGAGGACCCAGATTGTTGGGGGCAAATATGCTGACTCTGTAAACCGCTTAGAGAGGGCTGTAAAGCACTGTAAAGTGGTATATAAATCTAAGGGCTATTGCTATTAACAGCTGTCTCACTTAGCAACAGAAATCTCGGGCTCAATTGTGGCCATAAGTCCAGGACTACCTGTTTGTGCATTTTCCCAAACTTGAGCTGAGGTCGGGAGAGGAGGCCGTTTCCATAGCAAAAAGCCTAGCACTCCTGCACCATCAGGGCACCCGGAGCATCAACAGGGAGGCAGCTATGAGTCCTTGGTTTCTAATCGAGGCCTCCAGCCTGCTTAAGTTAGACCTTCTGGCCTGGATTTCTGGCAGGGCATGTGGGTGGCTTAATTCGCAGCGATTCAGTGGCCGTGAAAGATCGTGCCTGGTCAAAGGCATTTAGTGGCATAGAAAGCGAGACATGTGCGGCCTCTCAGCCCTGAGTCACATTAAACCCTGGCGGTGGTCCAACTTCTGCTCAGCCCGAGCGGCGGTTGTGGTTACTTTCCCTGAAGACAAGGGTGCAAAAATACACTTAGTGATGAAACCTTTCATTGTAAATATCCCCAAAAGCCATTGTTTGCTTCTTTCAGGCTTTTTTTAAAAAAAAAAAAAAGTTCAGGGGGGTTTCTATAAGAAAAAACATATTTTGAACCACAGCTGTGCCTAAATGGAGAAGCTTGTTTGCCTCCTCCCCCTCCCTTCCTCCCCCTCCCTCCTCCTCCTCCTCCTCCTTCTTCTTCCTTCTTCTTTCTCTTCCTCTTCTTCTCCTACTCCTCTTCCCATCCTCCTCCCCCTCTCCTCCTCCCCATTTCTTCTTTTTCTTCACCTCCTCCTCTTCTCCTCTTCTTCTTCCTTCTCTTCTTCTCCTACTCCTCTTCCCATCCTCCTCCTCTCCTCCCCCTCCCCCTTTCTTCTTCTCCTTCTCCTCCTCCTCTTCCTCTTCTCCTCCTCCTCTTTGTCAGCCTTCAATATTTTCTCCCTTTGCTTTGCATCTTTCGGCTGTCATAAGTAAGGGGGGGGAGGAGGGGGGAATGGTTATGGGAAGTGAGCTGGAGGTGTTACAAACCAGAACTGTATAAACTGGGGTGGTGGTGTAGATTCTTGCTTAGATTTCTATTCTATGCTATGCGCAGCTGCAACTCTTTATCAAACTATGTCAAGGTCAATGGACAGAGGCCTCATCACCACCTGGAGATGCCCACATGATGATATACACAACTTTTAATTGGATGAACCAATTTAACTATTGGGGGTGGGAACGTTGCCATTACTTTGTATATGTGATTTACGCGCCCATTTTCTCAGATTCAGAATTCTTTTGTTGCTACCACTTGATTTCCAGTAAAAGATATCTTTTCTCTGATTAAAGGAGTCTAAGTATTTCCTTCTTGGATTTTGAATGGAGCACCAGCTGACACTCTTCTTCTTCCTTCTTCTATTCTTCTCTTCCTCCTCTTCCCATCCTCCTCCTCCTCCTCTCCCCATTTTTTCTTCTTCTTCTTCTTCTTCTTCTTCTTCTTCTTCTTCTTCTTCTT